CCACACTAACCAAAAGGAGAAGGGACAAGACCAAAATAGATAAAATTAGAGATGAAAAAAGAAATATCACCACAACACAGAAATTCAGAGGATAATTAGAGACAATTTTGAAAATTTATATTCCAATAAATTGGAAAATCTAGAAGAAATAGACAAATTTCTAGACACCTTACATCTGCCAAAATTGAACCAAGAGGATATAGAAAACCTAAATAGGCTTGTAATAAACAATAAAATTGACACAGTATTAAAAAGCCTTCAAAAAATGAAAAGTTCACAAACAGAGGGATTTCCGCTGAAGTGTATCAAACATTTAAAGAACTAAAGGCAGTGCTCCTTAAATTACTCCCTAAAACAGAAAGGGATGGAACATTTCCAAATTTATTCTATGAAAATAGTCACCCTGGTACCAACACTAGATAAGAAGACATCAAGGAAAGAAAACTTCAGACCAATATCCCTGATAGATGTAAATGCAAAAAATCATTAAAGAATTAGCAAATCATATTCAACAACATATTAAGAAGATCATACATCACGAATAAGTTGGTTTTATTCCACAGACATAAATGCAAAAATCCTAAAAAAAATAGCAAATCATATTCAACAACCTGTTAAGAAGATCACACAACATAAATAAGTTGATTTCATTCCACGGATGCAAGGATCATTCAACATAAATTAATAAATGTAATTCACCAAATAAAAAGAATTAAGGGCACAGATCACATAGTCATCTCAATAGATGCAGGAAAAAGCCTTTGACTTTTAATACCATTCACAATAAAAACACTGAAGAAACTAGGGATAGAAGGAACTTACCTTAGCATCATAAGGCTATATATTAAAACCCTCAGCCAACATCATAGTACATGGGAAAAAACTAAATGACTTTCCTTTAAAATCTGGAACAAGATGAGGATGTCCACTTTACACTTCTGTTCAATACAGTACTTAAAATTCTAGCTCAGGCAATTAGGCAAGAGAAGAAATAAAAGGGATAAAAATAGGAAAGGAAAAAGTCAAATTATCACTCTTTGCAGATAATATGATCCTATAATTAAAAGATCTAAAACCTCCTCAGAAGACTGCTAGATAATAAATAAGATTCAGCAAAGCAGCAGGATATAAAATTAGCATACACAATTAAGTAACTTTCCTATATAGCAATAATGAATTTATTGGAAATGAGACCTGGAAAACAATACAATTCACAATATCTTCAAAAAATAAAACTAAAAAAGAAAGAAAGAAAATACCCAGGAATAAATCTAACTAAGAAGGTGAAAGACCTCTAAAATGAAAACTCTATAACACTGAAGAACTTGAAGATGACCTTTGAAAATTGTCAAAATTACTATACTACCCAAAGTATTATACAAATTCATGCAATCCTCATTAAAATACCAATGATATTTTTCACAGAACTAGAAAAAATATTCCTAAAATTCATATGGAAGAATAGAAGACCCAGAATAGCCAAAGCAATTCTAATCAAGAAGAGCAAAACTAGAGGCATCACAATACCAAGTCTTGAATTATATTACAGAGCTAGAGTAACAAAAACTGCATGGTATTGGCATAAAAGCAGACCTAGAGACTAATGAAATAGAACAGAAGATGCAGAGACAAACCCACACAGATCCTTGACAAAGGCACCAAAAGGGACAATTTTGAAAATTTATATTCCAATAAATTGGAAAATCTAGAAGAAACAGATACATTTCTAGACACATTGGATCTGCCAAAATTGAATCAAGAGGATATAGAGAACCTAAATAGGCTCATAATAAGCAATAAAACTGACACAGTAATTGACAATAAGATTGAAACACGTAGGGGAAAAGATAGTCTTTTTAGCAAATAGTGGTGAGGCAACTGGTTATCCATATCGAGTAGAATGAGACTAGATTTTTTTTCCTCTCACCTAGCACAAAATCCAACACAAAATGGATCAGATACCAAGGAATTTAAAGAGAAACTCTGCAACTCCAAGAAGAAAATGTATCCTCAACACTCCAACATATAGGTACAGACGATGACTTTCTCAGTAGGAACCTTAAAGCTCAAGAAATAATACCCAGAATGTAGAAATGGAAGGGGAGCAAATTAAAAGCCTTCTGCCCAGCAAGGGAAACAACTAAGGATGTAAAGAGAGAACCTACAGATTAGGAGAAAAATCTTTGCTAGATTTTTTTCCAGAATATATTAAGAACTAATAAAACTTTCCACCAAAAACACCTCCCAAATAATTCAGTCAATAAATGGGCAAATGAACACACTTCTCAAAAGCAGGAATAAAAATAGCCAACAAATATATTAAAAAAAAAGTTTGACATCTTTAACAGTTAGGGAAATTGAAATCAAACTACACAGAGATTTTACCTCACTGCAGTTAGAAAGACAGTCCAAGAATAGAAAAAAAAAAAAATAGCTGTGCAGGCTGGTGCAGACTTTAATCCCAGTCACTGGGGAGGCTGAGGCAGGAGGATCATGAATTCAAAACCAGCCTCAGTAAGTTAGTGAGGCCCGTTTATGAGGGCACTAATGCTATGAACAGAAGAGCTCTTTCTAGTAAGAAACTCTTCCTGATCACATCTTTAAGAGTTGTTCTGTAATCCTCAGCACTGGGATAGGAAAAGCAAAAACAAAAACCTGCTTCTATCCTACCCCAAAGAACCTATCAAAAGAGTCCCCCCCCCCTTTTTTTTTCAGTACTGGGAATCGAACCCAGAGGTTTTGCCCACGTTATGCAAGTGCTTTACTACTGGGTTACATCTCACCCCTTTTTATTTTGTGACAGGGTCTCACTAAATTGCTTCAAACTTGCTTCAAACTTCCTCCTGCCTCAGCCTCCTGAGTAGCTGGAATGACAGGTATTTGCCACTGTGTCAGGTCCCAATGAACTGGTTTTAAGGGGAAAAATGATTAAGTAAATATGACTTCTATTTTGTCATGTGAATTTATATTTCAACTTTCAAACCATAAAGTGGGATTATGAAGGCCAGGAAAGTTCTTGGGACTTGGTAGGAAAACATGATATGATATTGTTGAGACCAATATCCAGACTGAAATCAAACACAGATCATTTAGCCAGGTGTGATAGTGCATACTTGTAATCCCAGTGACTCAAAATCTAAGGCAAGAGGATCACAAGTTTGAGGACAGCCCGGGCAATTTAGTCTCACTGTCTCAAAATTAAAACAAAACCAAACCAAACCAAACCAAAAAAACCCCCCAAAACCCAAACAACATATTTTTAAGGGCTGGGGACATAGCTGAGTGGTACAGTGGAATCCCTGGGTTCCACCCCCAATACTGACTAAAAAAAAAAAAAAAAAAGAAAAAAAAATGCACAAGGAACAAGTGTTTCATAATCACAGACTAGATATCTGTCTCCAACTGGTAGCTTTTCAAATGGCTACCAGAATGACTAACTGCAAGAGTGTATGACTGGGGCAGACCTATCTCTTCCACCAATAAATCAGTTTAAAGAATGTTCACTCTCAGTGACTTTTGGCATAAGTTTTTTTTTATATTTATTTTTTAGTTATAGTTGGACACAATAACTTTATTTTATTTTTATGTGGTTCTGAGGATCAAACTCAGTGCCTCATGCATGCTAGGCCAGCACTCTACCTCTAACCCTCAACCTCAACCCTTGGCATCAGTTTCATAGATGAAGAATACAACATGAATAATATTTTAAAATTGTATAAAATAATTAGATTTGATGTATAAGTTAATGTTTCCATGAACAATTGAGTAAAGTAGAAGTTAAAACTTTAGGTATAAAGAGTTAATCAATTTAATATGCAATTTTCCCTAAAAATCCATTACTGAATTTAAAGTTGAAAGATGGGGAGAGGTGCCTTTAAAATATAATCAGGTTTTATTTCAATGCTTAAGAGATGCATTAATTCAGAAACTAAAACATAGAATGGATAACAGGGGTCTAATTTTTCTTAAATTGTATATAACTGCCTCATTCTGTGTTAGCATTTCTCAACCTCAGCACTAATTGTGTGCTAGATAATTCTTTGTTGTAGAGGTCTGTTTTCCTGTGCTGTGATCAGAATGTTTGACACAGCCCGCCCCTCCACCAAAATTTATATGCTGAAAACCAATCCTCAATGCAATAGCACTAAGAGTTTTTTAGCCTTTAGGAAGATTGGCTCATGAAAACTCTTTCAAGCTGTCCTTCTGGTGGCCAATTGGAAAGTGGTTCATTGGAGATAGATATATAGTCTGTGAATATAGAACAGTTGTTTTTTTCATGGTAAAGTAAATGATTTGTGTTTGATTCAAATCTGTGATATTGGTCTTGACAGAATCATGTTTTCCTATTAAGTTCCAAGAATTTTTCTGGCCTTCATAATCCCACTTTATGGTTTGAAAGTTAAAACATAAATTTACATAAAAAAACAGAAGTCATATTCACCTGATGATTTTTCTCCCTTTAAAATCCCTTTCAGGAAGGATAGGAACAACTCTTTAAGAGGTGAGCCCATGTGGCTTGGAATAAGGAGCTTCCCTGAGTCTTGGGTTGTAGCTCAGTGGAAGAGCATTTGCTCACCCTCATGTGTGAGGCATTGAGTTCCATCCTCAGTACCACATAAAAATAAATATTTTTTTTTAAAAAGAGCTTCCCTGTTTTCAGAGGCCTAGAATTTGTTTATGAAAGAGTCTATTTCTTGACATACATTAGAACCAATACATTTTTTAGCTTCTCTGCATAAAAGAATGTACACTTTCTTAGTTAGCATAAATTTCAACTCAAAAAACCAGAACCTGGTGGTTGCTTTATCCTAACTATCCCATAATGCTCTAAGAGATAAGTACACTTATGCTCAGCTTACCTCAATGTTTTGATAAGGAATTGGCTTTTCTTCTGAAGAATTTTTTTTTCTTTTTCTGAATTAACTTTCAAAAATTTTAAGGGGATCTTTGAACATAAAATTGAAGTCATGATCTTAAGAGTTTTTGTTCATTATTCTTACCTGCTTTTGTTATTCACCGTCATGGAACCACACAGGAAAATATTGGCCAAATGACCAATATCACCGTTGGCTCACTGAACAGTTTCAGCTCACAAGGATGGTGCAATCTTGGTCCCTCTACAGGGGAACACAGTGAACTTTCAGTGTTAAATATGACACTTATAATTAGAACAATCTATGGTTTTACCATAGCAATTTTAAGGGATGAGGCCATTTGGGGGGTGTTGAAAAGGCAGCAATTAATTAAAACTTCTCAGTGCAGTTTATGCTTCAGTGAATTCTTTATGTTCTGTCATAAGAAACGTCTAGTATCAGGCCTCAGTGTCCTAAAGGGTTAATGTGGCATGTTAAGGGCATAGGATTAGTGGTAAACCCTCTAAATCTCTCCTTCTCTCTCTCTCTTTTTGGAGCCTGGGCTCCAACCCAGTGCCTCGCGCAGGCTAGGCAAGCTCTCTGCCCCTGAACTACACCCCCAGTCACTCTCCTAAATCTTACTCTAACTTCACAGCCTCTTACATCACCTCCCTGGGATCCAAGCGGCTTTAAACAAAGGAAGAGAGTCTGTGAACAGCCAGGGATTTAAGGAATCAGGTTTCAAGTAGTACGAAAAAGTAGAAGGATTGAGATTAGATTAGGCAAGGTGGGAAAGGGATATTGGCAGGTAAAGCGCCGGAAAGTTACAACTTGGGTTATTTTTTAACTGGCGTCCTACAAACGGACGCCGTGTAGATGTCTCACTCGCTAACTTGTAAATGAACTTGAGGTTCTCTTTAGCAGAGTAGACTCCTGAAGCTGAGAACCTGGCGGCCGTTCAACGACCCCGCCCTCGGGGTCCCAGGGGGCGTCTTCTGGAGAGTCTGATTGTCTGGGGCGAAGGCGCAGGGAAAGCAGGGAATAAGAAGGGAGAGGACCGCAGGCCGCGAAAGCACACATAAAGCAGCCCTTCTCTTCGTGGGTGGAAACTTCCCAGGCCGCGAGCAGAGCGGGAGGGGGCGGCGGGGCGGCGG